CAATTTATTCGAAAATTGCGATTCGAAATTTCCGAATCGAGCGTCGGGACCGAGTATTCGACGTCGGCATTGTTCCTATGCCAGAGAGTCTGTTGCGTGGCCTGCGTTTGACATCTGCGCACTTCTGGCGCTCACGTCCCGAGGAAAAATCAAAACAATCAATATGGCGGACCCGAGCAACGAAGCTGCATCGTCGAGTAGCGTTTCGGAGGAGGCCCCGTCAGCCACTCCGATCCGCGACGACCTCGAGAAGATCGAGGACTTCCTCGAGCCAGACAAAAAGCGTCGTAAACTGTCGCGGAACGATGGGAAAACCGAGCAGAAGTTGGAGCACCGCCTGGGCGGCATCCTCTGCTGCGCAGTTTGCCTCGATTTGCCCAAGGCGGCCGTTTATCAGGTAAGTTTCATGAATAAATTTTTCATATATCTTCGCACCTCGATGTGTTCTCTGTAATCTGTACGATCGGCGGCGACGTGTGTCACGCTCCGATGCTGTTCACGATATTTTTGCACGAGTGCAACGCCGTCTTACGCATCCCGGGGTTTAACAGTACGTGCGACGCTGTTCCTCCTTCGACAACGTCGTCGTCTCTCTCTATCCGACATTTTCACCCGAGGCCGTCGGGTGCATTTCTCTTAATGCCTTTGTATGTGCACACATTACGAGTGCACACACGCACGTGCGAGGGGCAAACTACTGTTTTTTGTATTAGTCCCTGATCATCATGACCGCGCGCACTACGCACCGTGGCAATTTTGCTTTTTTATCGCGTCTCTGTATCTTCTCTGACTCGACACTCTCGGTAGACAGCAAGAATGTCCCATTTGAAGTCCAAGAGTATGTATGTCGGCCGCGGTGGAGCGTAACGTACATGTAACATTCATTTAATTTTTTCACGCCATTTGAATTGTGAAAGTGACATAAAAGTTCGAATAAAGGGGAAATAAAATTGGAGATACGTGTTTTCTTTCCTTTTTAAACAATCGGACGTGTGTTCTTTCAGAAACGCGGAGGTATTTCTCTGAAATTGTGTTGTCGCTTCTTACATTCAAGGCTTGTACATACATTATATATTTTATTCTTGATTGCAGTTGAGTTGAATTTTTCATTGACTGACAACAGCATTTGATGCTACATACTTTGTTTCTGTGTTAAATTCTTTCTCTCTCACTCTGTCCGTTTTTCTTACCCTCCTTTTCTCTTGGCAGTTACACGTACATATTTTCCAATAGTTTGCCTATATGGTGAAGAATTTTAATTTTTCTAACATTGCAGGGTATATATATATAATCTCGTTTTTTCTCTTTCAAGTTTTGATATCTTGCAAGCATTTTTTGTTGAAAATTGAAAATGTTTATCAACGATTGTCTTCTTTAAGATAGTATTAATATAATTACAGGTAGGTAACTATACGCTTTTTCCTAATAGGATTGCATTGAACATAATTCAATAAACAAAAAAACAGATGTATGAAGAACAGCCTTTAATTTGCTAAATACAAATATTACAGTTTCACTGTTGAATATATTTAGAAAATTTAGCAAAATCTGACCTGAAAAAGAAAAAAAAAAAGACACTCTCATACACAGTATGTTCTTACAAAATAATTCTTTGCAATGAGATCTTTGACTATTTATTAAACATTTATAGCAAACATATTGCCTAAGTGTTCTTTCTTGTACGGTTTGTATTGTAAAGGTGACATGATATTTATGATAAACATACTTATGCATGCATGTAAAAAGTAATTCTCATCTTTATGATATGTACGTCTATGGCGAATTTTCAACTCATGCGAGAAACGTATAGACATATCAAGGATTATTGTGTGTAAGCATGCTCAAACAATGATCCCATTTTTTAGTAATGTTTATTTACAGAAGTTCCTTTGTTAATTAAATTTGTAGCATTTCATTCTACCCATACTCTATATTTTATTCTCACTTCTCTTTTTAATTTGTTTTTTTTTAATAATGGAAATATATATATGTAACATATATTTGACATTCACTATTCTCATTAACTGTAAAACAATGGGAAGAATGTTGCGTTTATTCCATCATGATAGAGATGCATACATGTAAGTTATCCAGAGCGCTGACCAGCGCGTAATGTATTTTTTATTTTACTAAGGTATGCAAGTTTGAACGTTGTATTCATGCATTTGTGAACTCGTAGATATTACACAGAATATTTGATTTTAAGCAATCTAAACAATTAACTTCATTCTTGCTGGTATACTGAAAAGATCAAATTAGGAGAGACAATAAAGGAGAGTAAAAGAGAAATAGAAATTATTTAAACCCAACAGATTTTTATAGTCTTTAGCATATAATATAGCAAATACATTTTTCCAATTATAAACTATTATGTTTATTGTAAGAAATAATCGAGATGAAGGAGCCACTCAGATATTAGTTACTAGGAGAAAATTTTATTGTAGATCCATGCGGAATTGATGTTTACCAATTATGATTAATAGTGAGAGAGTGAGAGTGAGAGAGAGAAAGCGCATTTCCAGAAAATCTGTACAACATGTATAGTTGAAAAGCATTGAACAAAATAAACATTCTTAAAGGTTATTAGTTAGTTATTTCGCATATGACACCCTTTTTCACTTATCCTACGCATCATTGTCCCTTTCTCTTCCTTTCTATTTATCAATATTGGCAGCATTAATAACAATTGCTTTTGGCGATATTCACATTGTTTTAAGCCTACTGGTTTCACAATATGATGAATTGAATTATTAATAGTGTTATTACAATTTTGTGTTTCAGGTTTAAAAAACATCAAATTATGGTAATATACATGAACAGTTTTGTTATTCTAGTTTTTGGTTAATGTTGTTGTAAGGGCTGTACATATATATATTTAAAAAAAAAAAGAAGAGTAAAAGATGTGGCAGCTGATGCAAAAGTTAAATAATTTCGTTTCAAACGAAAGTATTTTCTCTTTTCTTCTTCTGATCGATTTCTTTTTTTTTTTTTTATAAAAAGTAGTAAATTAGATTTTGCACACAGCTGCACATGTACTGTATAACAAGATGTATTGTATAACAGGCTGTCTAAACTTATCAACAAAGTTAGGCTTATCTTCTATAATATGAAACCAAAGAATGCTAGTAATACATGCTGCAACAATGTTTACAGTGTACAAATGGACACTTGATGTGTGCCGGTTGCTTCACTCATGTCCTCGCAGATGCCAGGCTAAGAGATGAAATGGCAACATGTCCCAATTGCAGAATCGAGATCAGCAGAACGTCTCCGTCTCGAAATTTGGCAGTTGAGAAAGCAGTTTCCGAACTGCCGGCAGAATGTCAATATTGTGCAAAGGAATTCCCAAGGAATTCCTTGGAGCGCCACGAAGAGACTATGTGCGAAGAAAGGTAATCAACGTTAACGTTGTAGAACCATGTAAAATAATGTTAATTCGTTGTGTCTTGTACGTAGAATATCCAGTTGCAAGTACAGTAGAATCGGCTGTCCATGGCGTGGACCAAACCATGAACGTCCAGAGCATGAGGCACATTGTGTACATCCACATCGTACTGGACTGGACGTGATGGAAGCTCTGCGTGATATCGATGCCCGTACTCTTGAAGAACGTAGGCTGTATGACAATGTCTTTGATCTTTTGTCCTACGAGAAAATCACGTTCAACGGTCTGTATCTGTTTCTCGTGCATTAAGGCTCTCAAACTCTTATTCAATTTTGTTTAGACTAAAAAACATTGTAAAAGAGACTTTACTTTACTGTTCCGTGTGCTTTGTTTGGCAGCAACAGGAATAATCTCTGTCGTCAGATCTATCGAAATCAAAATACTCACGTAGATTTTTAGATGTCTCATTGGAAACATTTGAGAAATTAAATAAACTCATTTTAATAGGAACGTAGAAAACGTAGGATTGGAATTATCTGTGGAATTTTCGTTCCTTTATAGATTTGCAAATGAAGCCATATCGTACGGATGAGTTTGTTCATAAACTATTTTATGAAACTTCACGTTTTACTGCGTTTAACAATCAATGGGTTGTTAAAGCGAGGATCAACAACAGTCAGCGTGATCCTACTCAGAGTTCAGAAAGGGACATGACTTATCAAGTACGTAAAAATTCAGATATTCTGACTCTTGTTCCAATTAATTGAGCTAAATTAATTTTCAGCCCAGATTCTTTAATACGCTTTTCAATTCATTGTAGTTGATTTTAAAGACAAAAACAACGTATCCACTACTGCTTCATTATTTGATATTGAAAGGACCTTTTGGTGACATGAAAGTACAACCAAGAATACACAAATTCGAGTTCACTGACCAAGAAAATGAAAGCCCTTATTTATCTTTACCCTTGCCTGACACAGCAGAATGCAATAGACTTCTTGCTGCGAGAGCTATTAGTTTCAGGTAATGACATACATTTATATCGTGATTTTTTTTTTTTTTATTAAGGTCACAGAAAAAGATTGTTTATGACATGTATGCGTATAAAATATTTTGTCTATAAATAAAATATTTTCGTTTCAGACTAATAATGTTCCTGGCATCGAAGTAGTTCGACACGAGAATTGCTGCCAAGACTTTATGAATAAAGAATTATAATTGAGATAACTTTTTAGATTTAACAGCGATAAGAACATAGGTCACACAGAGATTTTTAACCAATTATTAGTAGTGTTTAACCGTAACGATAATAAAGATAAAGATGCTAATTCTGCTGTAGTCTATACACATATTACATTCAGAAAAAGTTACACAACGTTGAAACCGCGAATAGTTTAACACGGAGGGAGTAGCAGAAGTAACGTGCAGATACTTCTAAAGAAAGTGCAATGTTTAATTTTCATTTTTCCATTTATTTCGGGACGTCCTTATATTTTGTTTCATTGATTCTTCCAATTCATTCAAGCTTTATGTAGATTATTGTTGTTAGACAAGTGTATTAAATTGTACCGACTGGTGAATAGAATGTTTCATAAGTAGATGAAAACGATATTACGATTTTTTGACCAATCATGTTGATCGAGATGAACAATTTAATGCACATGCCTGTCGACAGAAGCGTGTATTCTATTTACGTATAAATTAAATGTTATTGATGTAACATCCCAAATCGACATATTGTAATAGAAAAAAAAAAA